ACGGCTAGCGTAGATAGCCCTCGTGTAGCTTTGCGCGAAATTCAAACCAAGCAAACAATAGAATAACGTGTTGCGGTTGCAGTCGGTTTTAATATCATATCCAAAGGCTGTATTAAACTAAAGCTCTTTCTGAAAAAAAACAACAACAAAAAACAATAAAGAAATTTCAGTTACAAAAACTAGCAGTTAAGCCTAATTTCTACGTGTTCTTTAAAATCATCTTCTTTTTTCACCTTTATTCACTACCATGAACATTTTTTAAAACTTTATATTGCCCGGAAGTGCTACAATTTTAATAAATTATTCTGGAATTAATTAAATGTTAAAATATGTAATTATATTGTTTGGAAATTTAAAATATTTTTAAGAATTTTGTTCACCTCATTAAAAATACGTATAATTTTAAAAAATAAGAAGAAGTCTGTTTTGCATATTATAAAAACCTTTCCCCAAATTGCAGTGAAACTAAGAATATAAATCATGCATTGTAAGAAACAACTCAGTTGTGATGATATTTAATTCATAAAATACTGTGACATTTCACAAATATCTACAATAACTTACGTTTTCAAAATAGTACGCCAACAAATTCGTTTCAAAATAGTTATTTATCTTTAATTTTTGAGCGTTTTAGCACAAATACCATAGAGGTGAAATAATACTCACGTCATTATGAGAGTGCATTTGTAGCTTCACCTTGTGGCTTGAGCTGGTATTAAATCTTAAGATCCATTTATGAATCTCACCGAAAAAGATTTTAGGCGAACCTTGTTTCTTTTTGTTGCCAACAAGGGAAGTAAGTGCTTGCTTTCAAATCGACCAAGAGAACAGGTTTCATTTGTTGTCTTTTCAACTGTATCCAATGAGACGGTGAAAAAAATCGCCCTTGGCTCTTGCTATGCATGTAAGCTGTGTGAAAAATAACCTATCAAAAGTATTGATAGTAATAGTAGGGTTGATGGTAACAATAAAAATTCTCCATATTTACAACAGAAGACCTGAGACACAAACTGAACTGGTGACACAAGTAACAGAAGTGACGCAGTAGTTTACAGTTGACCAGGTTTTAAGTATAGCTCAGTGGATTTAGAACTAATCTCAACGTTCCAGATAAACGAGTCTGTGGAATAGAACATGCGAGATAACAAGTTATCAAGTCAAGTTGAAGCGAGGCCAGTAAACCTACTCTACACCAATAGTGGGAGCCCGTTTTCTCTGATTGGATTACACTTCGTGCTATTTCTTCCAAAACGCCTTGTCGTTTAGCAAATGATGGTGTTGAGGTTTTTTTTTCTTTCTTCTTCTTCTTTTTAATATGCCTGGTCAAACTTCATTGAACTTCAAGAACTCTTGCATGGAAACACCCTATACGTATATAATCAGTGCTGTCTTAACAGGGAACTAAAATTAAACGTTCTCTTGTTTCTCCGATAATAATTTAGTGACACTGAAATAAAATGTTCTTTTTTCATAATTTGCTTTTTTTTGTTTTACTGAAAGCTCTGAATATTAAAGTTTCGAAATGTTGGAACCAGCCAGGTGTTAATCACTCGTTAGGGAAAATATACTGTTCACGTGGGTGTTTCACAAAATTTTTTGTTTGTTTATGGTTAAGCACAAAACTACACAAAGGGCTACCTGTGCTGTGCCAACCAAGGTTTTTAGAGCTATAAGTTTGCAGCTCACCGCTGTGCTACTGAGGGGGATTTCACAAAGAAAAAAGAAAGGAAGAAAAGTATTAGAACTGGCATTAGGCCCCTTACATTGTTAGCTTTTCCGAAATTAGACGTTATTTTTAAACAATTGTGTTTCAGAATTATTTTGTAAGGTATGAAAAAACTTGATGGGCAAAATTTTACCGAATCTCAAACACAATAATTAGTGTTTTACGACAACAACAAGCTGAGAAACTTAAGTTTTTACAATTTCCAAATAGCTGGGCAGGACATAGTGTTTAGTGTGCCGTGGGTGCGTTATAATAGTGACGATCAAATCCCACTATTTGATGAGAGTAGCCCGACAGGTGGTGTAGGTGCTATTGAGTAACTTAGCTGAATCCCTTTTAGTCTTTCAGTTCAAAATTAGACACGGTTAGAGCAGTGTAGCATTACGCAAGTGCCCGAAACGACAAACATTCCCTCCCCCACCCCCACGCCTTTTTTCCCGTGATTGGCAAATTATTTTGTGAGTGCAAATGTTTCACGTGACATATAGGTCACTTTGCTATCGTGTAAGTGTGTAAGTGGTTTCTAAAGGCAAAACAAGTAAACCAGCATTATATATATATATATATATACATGTGACTGTACTCACACTTGATGATAAACACAGAGTTCTATTCCAAAGATCAACGACCGTGTCATCTTTCATTTTGTGCAAAATTTAAATTTACAAACATGACACTTGTATACATATCAGGCATTTACAGTTACATTTAGGGAGTAAAATGAGATTCATTCCATGTATTATAAAACACGTAACAAGAATAAAACAAAACCCCATACATGAAATCATTATTTAAATAGTCCAACTTCACAGTAATATATCGTTTTGCCTCACTATACTGACGCATATTTTTCGACCTTCGACCTCGCCTTTCAATCGCTCCTCATGTTGCCTTGCTGATATATTTTGGTGTGTCATTCATTACTCTATGATTTTTTGTTTCTGTTAAAAACCAGTTCGAACACTCAAAACTATGGATTTAGCATTATGGGAAACGATAAGGAAATTTGGGCGTTTTTAAAACTGTTTTCATTTGTAGATTCTATTTTCGTTTTAGAAATAATACTATAAAAATTCAAAATATTCAATTAGAACAATAAATAATCTGCGTAATTCTTTTAGAGCTGTCGTGATCAAACAAGCTGAAATCTTTATAATCACGTTATTTGTATTTTTTGTTGTTTTTGCAAATAAAAGCTATCTCTCTGGAAACAACGTAAAAACCCGATATTTGTTTCTGTTGATCCCATTGACGTGAGATTATTGTTAAAATGTCTCATTTTTAAACATTTTTCAATGAGGTACAACATGAATACGTATTCTTACACTGATCTTTGGTTTACTGATTTTCTTACAGTAAACCATTTAAACCAATAGAAACAGAATGGATTTAATGATTATTATGCATTTTTGTTTAAAACGTTTAACAAATTATTACATTTCTTGCTTCTAGTGTATTCCTGGTTATTATAGTTTCTGCTTGTATTATCATCTTTATATTATTATATTATTTCTTGTTTCTAATGTCTTCCTGGTTATCATATATTTTTCATTTCTAATGTCTTCTTGGTTATTATAGTTTCTGCTTGTATTATCTTCTTTATCTTATTATATTATTTCTTGTTTCTAATGTCTTCCTGGTTATCATGAATTTTTCATATCTAATGTCTTCCTGGTTATTATAGTTTCTGCTTGTATTATCTTCTTTATCTTATTATATTATTTCTTGTTTCTAATGTCTTCCTGGTTATTATATTTTTTCTAGTGTATTCCTGATTATAAGAGTTTTTGCTTGTATTATCTTCTTTATCTTATTATATTATTTCTTGCTTCTAATGTCTTCCCGATTATCATTTTTTTTCTAGTGTATTCCTGATTATTAGAGTTTTTGCTTGTATTGTCTTCTTTATTATTAATATATTTTGCATCAGCTATTTACTGACTATTAATATCTTCCTGATTATGAAAGTTTCTGCTTCTAACGACCCATTGTAAGATTTATAGGAAATTAATAGTTTTTCCAATATTTTTTTGAGTTTTCTTGCATATAGCATCATCTTTGGATGGTCACCAAACGAACTGTGCTGAAAAAAGCTCGTGCATAAATAGAGTTAAATCGATCTGAAAAGTTTTGAAGACTTAAATAAAAGATTAAGCAGAAAAAAGCATCAACAACTTATTATTTGGTTCCTTCCTCATTTCATAGTATTTCTGAAAGTTTATGTCTAGCATATTATATTTTATTTAGTTGTATATTTGTGTAAAAACTATTAGATATCTCAAGCACAGGATAAAGGATTTTATTAAACTGCAGCTTTCTTCACTCCTTTGTGAATGGTATTACAAGTAAGCCTACATGAAACCCAGTGATCGTGTCAGAAATGAAAGCATTTCAAAGAATCTCTATATACATATATAAAGCAGAGCTATCCGTCTGTTTGGAGTCACCAGTTGTTGTGAGAAGCCAGGAAATCCAACATGGATTAAATTTGGCAGACGACCGTAGTTAGACCCCTCTCTCTCTCAAAGACAGAGTTTGAATAAACAGTCAAACAAACGGTTCGAGTTTGTCAGCCATTTAAATTTTACCTCCTTAATGCCGTGGATAAGTGCTCAACTGAGTGAGGAAGTAAGTAATGACAGACGAACATTTCGCGCACTACAGCTCAAAAATAGTGAAAGGGCCAGCCCACACCCCCCATTTATAGCATTACTTTTGAACAGCGGCAATGCTGGATACCTTTGCTATTCAGTTTATATTAAGATGATTAAAATACACAAGTCCTTTCATGTTGTGACATGGAAAATGTTAGTAGCTAAGTTAGTCGGTTATACTTGAATTTGAAAACATTTTAATTAAAATATCCTCATTTTGTAATTATTGTAACGTTCCCTGGACAACTTGTTTGTCATTAAGCACAAAGCTACACAGACATGCCGCTGTGCTACTGGAGGGGGGGGGTCCCCTGGACAATGGTAGATATTGTAAAAATTATAATTAATATCAGAAACTTATTGAATATAATTTTGACAACTTTAGAATTTGAAGATTTATTAAGCGATAAGCATGTCCCTTACGACTTACGACGCTAGAATCCGGGTTTCGATACCCGTGGTGGGCAGAGCACAGATAGCCCATTGTGTAGCTTTGTGCTTAATTATAAACAAACAAACAAACAAACCTCTTATAATTATGTTTTCAAGCAGTGTTTATCTCCCTCTAGTGGCTGTTAAGCTATTACTATATACGATAAAAACCTGACGACCATAAGTATAACAGATTTTCCAAGTTTACAATGTCTAAGGTCACTATTTATGAAAACGTGTAGTTTGTAAGAATGTTACATAGTTCTATTGTGAGCTCACTTACTCACAGTTATGACGCCGAAAAATATTTTATCTTTACTTCTTAAAATAAATTAATATCTTTAAAATAATAAATAATATTAAAGGTTAAACTGGTACACAATTAAAAACATTTTATTTAGGCCTATCTATGGCCTTCAAAAAAGTTGACGACTCTACATGTTTCTACGTTACAACGTCATCGTCAGATAGGCCTAAATAAAATGTTTTTAATCGTGTACCAGTTTAACGTTGAATATTATTTATTATTTTAACTTTATACACAAGTGCCAAAATACTATACAAATTAATATCTGTTGAAAAACATTTTTTTTGAAGTTTCTTATGCTGGCGACCCTTGTTGACACTTACACAACTAAACAGCCTCTGAAGTCTTCTGTGGAGAAAGTTGTGCTAAAGTGTGCAATATCTATAGGATGCTACAAATTTGACAAGAAATAACACAACTTGTCGAATGAAAAGTCGTTTTTGAGTACGATAAAGCGCGATTTTTCACAACAGCATTATTGTGAATGTACACGACTTCACCAAATATAATCTGCTAAACGGTTTGTTTGTTTTGTCGAATTTCGCGCAAAGCTATTCTCGGGTTATCTGTGCTAGTTTTCTGTAATTCAGGATGCCAAGTGGCACAGCGGTAGGTCTGCGGATTTACAACTCTAGAATCCGTGTTTCGATACCCGTGGTGTGCAGAGCACAGATAGCCCATTGTGTAGCTCTGTGCTTAATTACAAACAAACAAACTATAATTCAGAACTGACAGACTGGAGAGAAGGCAGCTAGTCAACATCACTCACAGCCAGGCTCTTGATTTACTCTTTACGAACGAGTAGTGGGATGGATCGTATCATCATAACGCCCCCCACGACTGAGAAGACGAGAATGTTTGACGACGGGTTTCCAGCCCTAGAACGGACGAGTTCGAATCGAGCGCCCTAACCACCAGGCCATCTCAGGAACATGTTCTAATGTTTTAAAACCACCAGACCATGCCAGGCCCCTACTAAACGGGTCATCTCAGGGGTAGTTTCTAATATTT